TGTCTTCCTAGAATTTCTCTGTTAAAATTCTTTAGAAATAAAAGGAAAATCTAAACAACTAAAATGCAGTATGATTCGGCAAGACCTAACAAGGTGAGGCTGTTAAGAGGAAGAGGTACAAGACTGTGGACATCTTGTTTGACTTGGGCAAGAAGGAGATGATAAGCCATCTTGGCTAATAGATGTTGCAAATGTATGCGGGTTAATGGAGCTGGAGACAAATTTAAGCTGTCTGGTGGCCAATGGGAAATAGGATGTAGAACTTCAAAGGGAGCATAGAAAAAAGGAAGAAAATGCAAGGAGCCCAGCATGTTTAGGAAAGGAAGAGGGAAACAGGATAAGAATGGAAAGTGGGGGGTGCAGCTGGCAACATTAAAATCACCGAAGCCAAGATGGACCTCCCTATGGACGAACAGATGGGTCTTGGCGCGGCAAGGGGCGGCGGGAGACAGCCGACAGTTCGTTCCCTCAGGGGTATGAGGGCTGGGGCTGGACAGGCTGCTGGGTCCTTGAGTAAGGGGGTACTGGGAAGCAGCTCTTCACCCAAGGGGCTCCGGAGGGAGCGAACACATCTGTTTCACTGTGTACACTTGGCTCTTGGGCTGTGTGAGCTTCTTTATGTGGCAAGGCTATAGGCGGGGAACAAGCTAACAGAGAAACCAGCCCAGGGCCCAGCACTGTGGTGCAGTGGTTCTATACTGCTTCTTGCCATGCTGGTCGTCCTTGCTGCAGGGCCTGTTGAAAAAGAAGCTAAGTACTTTTCCCTATTGTACTGTGGTACCCACACGCTACCCTGGAGTACTCCATTCTCCTGGTCATTTGGCCCTATAGGGGACCTGGGTCAGGGGGCAGTGAGGCCAGTTCTCCTCCAGTCAGTGGAACATTGAAGGGGAGGGCTGCCTGCCTGTGCAATTAGCAAACTTCTCTGGTTTATCCCTTGCTAAGTGTTCCTTTGGCTCATCCTGGCCCCAGGCAGCTTGATGGCCCCAGGGAAGTGTTCCAGAACTCGATAGAAGAGTTCTTCCACTTCCCCTTGCAGCTCCCTTGCTGGTCAGCCCTGGTCACCTGTTTCAGCAATCCCATCCCATCTCTTCACACCATCCAGAAGTTCCTCACTGTGTCAGGCCTGTTCTGATGTCTGCCTGCGCTGCTTTCTTTGTGACTGCCATCTTCGCTTAGCACCGTGTGACCTGGAGAGGAAAGGGAAGGTCAACAGCCACCTGCAGGTGATTTTAAGAGGGACTCCCAAACGGCAGCCGTGTTTTAATAGATGTACTCTGATTAATGGTAACACATGTGTGTGTACACCCAGAGTCTGCTATAGCCTGTGCATTAAGATATAAGACATGCTTGTTTGGCATGTCTCCCCAGGGCCTTTGTACGGCTCCACACTCACCCAGCTCATTCACTCTGGGCACGCAGGTCTCTGCGTATGTCTGCTCTCAGACGGACCTTTCTGGAGCCCCATCTCCCCTTCGGGCACCTTCGTTCCCCTCCTGCCTTTAGCACTGTCCACTCCTCGACACTGCATCCTGTTCTTGTGCTTCAGCCTGTTTGTAATTTCAGTCTTTTCCCTCCCTAGCAATACACTCCAGGTGGGAAGGGGCTTGTCTTGTCACAGCTCTCTCCTCAGTCCCCAGCCAGGGTCTGGCACACACCAGTACCCTGAGTGAAGCTGCTGAGTGAAGGCAGGTGCTGTCCCTCTGTCTTATCATCAAGCAAGCAGAGGAGGAGGTGACCAGTTAAGCTGGTTGTCTTAATCACATCGGTTATGGCTTCCGTAATGCCAATTCACAAAACACCGTCCTCCCCTTTTTAGTAGTTCTTCGTAACTGAATAACAAAGTTCTTGAATTCCGTCACATAGTCATCCATGGGCAGGGTGGTCAGCAAGCCGGTCGCTAGGATGTTAAGTTACCAAACCTGGAGACATAACCATCACAACCTGGTTGCCAGTCTCCTTCCTGTCTGGGGGTGCCCGCTATCAAGTACAACTGTTGATTTGCGAGTACAAAGCACTGGTCCAGCAGCTGGACAATCACTCAGAGATAATAAGGTGATGCAACAGTTCCCAGTGGCTGTGTTCGGTTGGTGCTGGCCTCGGCTGACATATTTTATTAATAACAGCTATCACTCTTTGCCATTCTATTATTTTCCAGGGTGATTAATGGCGAGTGTGTGGATGAGCGGAGCTTTGCAATAGCAAACGATCGCTTAAAGTCATGCTGTGACTACCTCCAGCTGCCTGTTCAACTAGGAACTCATGATTTAAGGCGGAAGGGAATCGCTATGTAGAAAATTCAAGTGCCAAGGAGTGTCAACACGGTGAAAGGGGCTCGGGGGGCAGGCTATCTCCATAATCCTGGGGGTAGGGGGATGGCCTGGTCGGTGATTGTGGCTTGTTCCGACTATGCTGCAGCTCCCACTAGTTTTTGTGAGGGCCACCATTCTGACATTAACAAGAAGCCAGTCGGTCCTGGTTTTTGGAATGGCTTTCAGGGTATTTTACAGCTCCCCCTACGCCAGCTGCCGTATTAGAGGCTAGTGCAGCTATGGATTAAGATTGGTTCAGTAGCAACATTTTGATGAAGGCTCTGTTAAAGAAAAACCTCTTGGCTCAGATGTAGCTGTCACTCCTTCCATCATGCTCCATTCCTAAGCATTGTTCTGTGGTTGCAGTAGTTTTGGGATAATATGGGTGGGGCTTTTTACCTGTCTTCTTTCTCTGTTAGATGCTGAGTTCCCAGGGGTTCAGACTGTGTGTGCTTGTTATGGTAGTCTTCATATAGGTCCCAGAATCCCGTAACAGCAGCTTCTTGGCACATGATCATCAACACTGTGGGCGATGCCCCTGAATCTCTCCCTGCTTAGTCTATGTGGAAGGTCCAAGGCACACGGCACACTGAGTCCCCGGGGAAACCCCCTGACAATGGTTTTGGCTGAGACCTCAACCTGGCCTGTTCTCTGGGCATGCAGTGAGAGCAGTGGGCTGCACCCCAGTCTCCCTTCTCTGTCCTTGGTCGAGCTGTGCTGGGACTTCCTTGATAAGCTACTCTAAGAAGTTAAATGCGACCCACAGCCTATCTGCCAGCCACACGTGGTGAATATGACCTGAGGCAGAGTTTCCAGCTGTGCTCACAGCCTCTCCAGGCCTACCTGCCTGTGACCTAAAGGCACAGCTTCCAGCCACGTGTGCAAAACATGATCTGTGATTTGATTGGAGGGTCCAGAGAGAGAGACATGCCTTCTAGGAGTTACAGTGTCACTGTTGAGTGGGAGGACTGTCTGGGATGGCCCTTGTGCCTTTGCTTTTCCTAGTTGTGTTCAATTTACAATAAATGGACATGCTCCGTCAGACTGTCCTTGATGATTCTTGTGGCTAAAGAACATCATTGCCTCACCCCCTCAGTGGTCTTGGGGGACTGCTGGCAGGACTCCCCCCCGCCCCCCCGCCCGCCCCCGAGAAACAAGAAACACTACCATGGAAAAACTGGCTACACCTTTGTGTGCTAGTCTTTCCTGTAAATATTCTATTAAAAACCCTAATGGAGCTGATGCTTTGGTGCAGTGGGCTAAGCTGCCATCTGCAGTGCTAACATCCCAGTTCAGTTCCAGCTGCTCCACTTCTGACCCAGCTCTTTGCTAATGTGCCTGGGAAAGCAGTGGAAGATGTTTTCCCTTGCATCCATGCGGCCAACCTGGAAGAAGATCTTGGCTCCTGGCTTCAGTATGGCCCAGCCCTGGCCATAGCAGCCATTTGGGCAGTGATCCAGTGAAAGGAAGAAGATCTCTCTCTCCATGTTGGACATCATTGAGTCCTGGTTCTGTCTCTGCTTCTCCTGTTTACCCTCTGGGCCTCGCTGGTAAGTCAACAAATATATTTCATAAATTTTGTGGGAAAATGGAATTAAAGATAATGCACATTTTCCATGAACCTTTGAAATGCCCCTTGCATATAGCTGCTTCTCATCTAATTTTGGTTTAGTCAAACGTTTGGCACATAGCATTTGTTCCTCAGTGTTTATTGGGTCTGAATTGACATAAGTCAGACGTGACATAAGCCTCATCACTCCCTGGAAACTTATTCAATGTTGGGGTCTGTTAGTTTTCTTTTCAATCATAGACATCTTGAAGCTATTTTTTAATATCTGTCTCAGGGCTAAAGCTCTAATAGGCCTTAATTGACGCTTTTTGGATACTTGACACTTGGCTTAACGTTGGGTGTTGCAGTCTATACTTTGCCATTCTCACATTTCTTAAAGTGATCTCAGAAATGAAGGAAAAGTGCTTACTTTGAGCATTTAAGTCCAATCTTGCAATTTCCATACACAAACAGACCAATATGTGAGTGCCTGCTTGGCCATGGAGGAGCTCAACACTAGAGGTCCCTGTCTCCATATGATCTGGTGGCCTCGCCAGGGATCCCAGCCAACAAAGTGGCTTCTGACTGGGAACAAAAAATGAGGACCAAGGGAAATTTGAACCACTGGATTTGATGGGGCCTTGCTAATTAGATTGTATACATCAGCACTGCTTCATTGAGGCTGCGGCTCAGCCACACCAAAAAGTCCTCTTTTCTCCCCCAACTTCTAACCCCAATTTCATGTGGTTCTCTTTTCTATCTGGTTCCTGAATTTGCCATGTGACTTTATTCAGTTTTTTTCATCTCTGGACTTATGACTGATTATGAAGGACTATACTATTGTAAAAGCTGTAGGGGAAATCAGTGGGGATAGAGAAACACCACCATGGATTTGAGGAGGAGGGAAGGGAAATCCCAGAGCCTATGCATCTGTATCATAAAGTACTAAAATAAATTTTAAAAATCCTTTCATCTCATCCCCACCTTGGAGGCAGTCTGGGTTGGCCTTCTAGTTTTACACTGAAATATAGTTGTGGAATATTGGGCAGACGGTACACTGCCTCCCCCCCCCCCCCCCCCCCAACTACCTCTGCTTTTGTGAGGGTTCGTGAAGGATGCAGGAGCCAAGTGCAGAAATATGCAGGTCATGTAACTCAGGCTGTGCCCTAATCAGCACTGGCTTTCAGTTCTCAAGGGCCAGGGCTCCTGGCAGCCATGAATCTCCTTTCACTATTAAGGACCTAGATAGGATATGTTGACTTCCTCCCCCCATAGAGGGTCAATAACTCTTTAAGGAATTGGTAAAAGAATACATGAAAAAGTAAATTTTGTGTTCAAATAAAAATTTCATTTATTAGACAATACTGAACAGACAAATGGACTAAGAAACTGGAGAGTCAGGTCTTGGTCGTGATTGGAGAGTGAAGAAGAGGAGGTGGAAGATGGCAGGTTCTTCTATGGGCCTCTTCGCTGCTACAGGCTTACCAGTACTCCTAGAAACAGCAGGACCCAGAGCTTGCTTCTCTCTGCACCACAGGTACCTCTATGCCCTTTCCTTAAGACTCCCACCTTTGGAATCCTGTGTGTCCCAGGTGTATATTGGGGCTACTTGCAGAGCACAGAGAGCAGGAGGAGGCTGGTGGTAGTCCTGGAGGGAGGGTCCAGGCAATCTGAGAATTCCAAGCCATGGTAGAGGCATGAGTCTGGGATTTGGCTGGGACAGGGAGAAAGACACCTACAGGGTCCCGGAAACGTCTTTCTGCATGATAAGGAGCTCAGCCAGGGGTGGCCCAGCTCAGGACCAAGGGCAGGGTCCTGGTTTGCCTGGTTTTAAGAGTGGGGCTGGGTGTTCCAAGGTTTCTGTTTGTAGTTCCTTTATCTTCCAATTCCATGTCAGGTGCCTGTTGGGTCAGCCCCTTCTCATCTCAAGACAAAAAAAAAAAACAAAAACATCCTCTGGGCATCCTAACCAAAGCTGCTTAACTCCTGGCTTTATCCTAGAGGATTTTTGCTAAAGTCAATGGCTTTGGACCTGGCTACAAATGATGTAATAGTGTCAACTGAGTTGTTAGAAGCTCCACCATCAATGAGAACTGTCTTCTGATGGAGAGGTCGGATCTAATTTGGAAGTGGCAGAAAACTGTACAAGTTATCGGTGACATTCACCACTGGTGCCCTGAGTTGTTCCAAAGTGTGTCAGTCCAGAAGCTGTGATTCTGCGCACTCAGGGTTTCCACATTTCCAGACCGAGATCCTCAGTTTGACAACCACGAACTTAAGCAATGATGACCACCTTCTCTCTTCCAGGTAGTGTGCACAGTCCAAAGACCAGAAGGAAATAGAGCAGCTGCTCCAGATACAGCCTCACACTGCGAATTCTCCAACAAAAGTTTCTGGCCCTTCAGTTTCATCGGTTTATGGGTCTGTGAGTTGGCCATCCTGGAATTCTTCTTGAGGTTTTGGCAGACTTTCTGAGCTGGCTGTGACATGCCCACAAATTTGGAGGACGTTAATGTGTTGCACATGTTGCTGGCAACCGTAGGCCCACCCACGGTAATGAAACAACTCAAGAAATTCTTCACCTGACCCTTAGTGCTTTTACTCTCTGTACCAAAAAAAAAATACCCAACTGAGGTGCCTCTGTGCTTTTCAAATCAATGAGCTGCAATACCTATTACTTGTTGGGAGATTGAATCTTTGTAAAAAAAAAAAAAAAACAGAAGTTCAACATTTTGCAATGACGTTTTTATTCATTTACAGATAGACCATGTGCAACTTGGGAGCCCAGGAGAAGTGCATTTTCAGAACCCCATAATTCCACTTCCTTATGAACACCACACAAGCCCCTGTGACATGCGCAGATCTGGAGACAGAGCCCTGGGAAGCCTCAGCAGTGTTTCAGCTGGCCAGCTGGAAAGCACATTCATTTCACCTGCTTCTGCCGCTGTCACGGTGCTAACAGAGGATAGCACATGGAAGAACCAGTAGTCATTGCTTTTTGATAGTTTGGCCATGAATGTTTCCATAGTCACATCAGCCTGAAAGACTGGCAGGTGTGTTTTGACCCCTGCTTCCCCTCTTCCTGAGTTGGGGTGTGTGTATATTTGGCAGGTAACTGGGAGCCTCCCCTCTCATATTTTCTCCCCAGGGGAGACTGTAGCCAAACAACAAACATCAGGAGGAAGAATGCAAGTCTCACAGCATTACAGACACTTTTCTTTGTGAAATGCATTGCTATGGGGATAGAAATCTCTATTGTGCCAACAATTGCAAATAAACATATAGGGGATTTCAGAACCTTCTGACTGTAAACTTCTTTGTAGCAATGTTCTACTAAGCACTATAGAAGAACTTCAGGGGCTTACACCAGTACTCGTTGGTTGTCATGTCCATTGTTAGGACTGCTGTAGCTCAGTACCATAGCCCAGGTGCTTCAGCAACGGGTTTAGAGACAGGAAGTCCAGTGCCAAGGTGTCGGTGGGGTTGGTTTCTTAGGAAGGCTCCCCTCCTTGCTTGGGGGTGAATGGGTTCTCCCTCCATGTCTTCACATGCTCTTCCTCAGCATCTGTGTTCTCATCTCCTTTCTTCTTTTTAAGGTTTTATTATTTATTTTTATTGGAAAGGCAGATTCACAGAGAAATGGAGAGACAGAAAGATCTTTCATCCTCAGGTTCACTCCCCAAGTGGTCACAATGGCCAGCGCTAAGCCAGGAGCCAGGAGCTTCTTCCGGGTCTCCCACGCGGGTGCAGGGTCCCAAGGCTTTGGGCCGTCCTCGACTGCTTTCCCAGGCCACAGGCAGGGAGCTGGATGGGAAGTGGGGCAGCCCGGACATGAAACGGTGCCCACATGTGATCCTGGCAGGTGCAAGGTGAGGATTTAGTCACGAGCTGTCACGCTGAATCCCATCTCCTCTTCTCATTAGGAGCCCAGACATTCTGAATTAGGGCTCGCCCTGATGACAGCATTTCAACTTAATCACTGCTTTGCAGACCCTATCTTCAAATCCAGTTATCTGCGATACAAGGGCGTAAGACAACATGAATTGGGGGACGGGAGGGGGGTTGGGGGTGGGAGGAGAGGGTATAATTCATCCCATCACAGGCGTGCATCTACAATTAGGAACATGCATGGATTCCCTTAAAGTGACATCTCTACCAGGTCGACCAGGACAGGGCTGTAGAAATTCCAGGACAGGGGCCACATGCCACGGGTAGCTGGGTACTTTCGGGGTTAGGGGGTTCCGGAGCCCAGGAGCTAGCCCTATAGACCTGATGAGTGAAATGTGGCGGAGGCAAGTAGGTGAAGCTGTGAGGAGACTCACGCAGCTGTCCTGCATTGACCAGCCCGCCCACAATCAGCTATATCCGGGGCAGCACGGCACTTTGCCGGAAGTTCCGGTGCGGGTGCGAGGGAAACTTCGTGGTGCTGGAACGAGGGGAGGAGGTCGAGCTGTAGGTGGTGTGTGCCGCAGAGGACGGCCGGGGAGCCGCGAAAAGAGGAATGCAGAGCCCAAAGGATTTCCAGAGGAACGGAGGACGGTGAGTTTTCCTCCCTGGCTCTCGGTTCGAGTGAAGGGCCTGGAACCCTATCCCAGAGAAAGTGCCAAGAGACTTTTCCCAAGGCCCTGGGGATGGTGGAGTCTGGGTGGGAGGGAGGGGGTGTTTGGGATGCAGTGAAGGGAGTTCCAGGGTTCGAGTCCTGTTCTGCCTCGGGCTCCCGTTTCCTGTTACTGCTCACCTTGAGAGGCGGCGGTGGCTGGGTCCGTGCTTCCCACAAGGACAACCCTGATGGGGCCGCTGACTCCTGGGTGTGCCAAGAAGCTGAGCGAGGGCTGTGGTGGTATAACAGTCCCCAGGAAAGAAGGGGACAGACCTGAGAAATGGTACCGAGTGGCAGTGGCTGGGCTTGGCTGCTGGTTTGGGCGTAAGGAGTGGTGGGGTAGTTGTAGGGTGCTGCTGTTTGCCGTCTAGATGTTCCTCTACCCTTCTCACTGCCTGTTCCTCGTGCAGTCTCTCTGGCCCAGGACTGAGGTTCTGCCCGTTGATGAGACCCTCCCCTATGCAGAACACCTGTAATGGGACGTGCTCTCGGTGGCTGACCCAGGTGTGCCTCGTCCACCGATTTTGGAATAATTGACCTGGGTCAGACCATTAAAAACAAACATATATATACACACACGCCTGGCACGGTAGCCTAGCGGCTCAAGTCCTCACCTTGTACGCCAGGATCCCATATGGCCGCCAGTTCTAATCCCGGTGGTCCCGCTTCCCGCTTGTGGCAAGGGAAAGCGGCCAAGGACGGCCCAAAGCCTTGGGACCCTGCACCTGTGTGCGAGACCTGGAGCAGGTTCCTGGCTCCTGGTTTCGGATCGGTGCAGTACCAGCCATTGCGGACAGTTGGGGAGTGAATCATTGGATGGAAGATCTTCCTCTCTGTCTCTCCTCCTCTCTGTATATCTGACTTTGCAATAAAAATAAATTTTTAAAAAAGATATTAAATATATATAGCATTATATATAATTATTTAATATATAGTTATGTTTTATATATGATATTATATGATTATATAATATATATTATTGGAAAGACAGTTGTACACAGAGAATGAGATGCAAAGGGAAAAAACTGATTCGAAGCCAGGAGCCAGGAGCTTCCTCCAGGTCTCCTATGAGGGTTTAATGTTCCAAGGCTTTGGGCTGTCCTCTGCTGCTTTCCCCTGCCACAAAATGGGAGCTGGATGAGAAGTGAAGCAGCTGGAATATGAACTGGTGCCCATATGGGATTCCAGCTCATGCAAGATGAAGATTTAGACATGAGGCTATCACACCAGGCCCCAACCATTTCGTACCACCATCTTAGGACCCAAGTTTCGCTTTCCCTGCCCATTGCAGTGCAGTTTAGATTTCTCTCTATCATCACCACAGGAGAATTTAAGGTATGCATCCAATGAGGTAGGATTTTTTCAAGAAATGGCAACTTGTGTGCCTGTGCCAGTCCTGTTGAGTCCTGTCGTCATGCCTGCTGCCTTGTTCTGTGCTGAGGAGGTAAGAGCCTCCCACCTTTTGTGAGTCTCTGCCCTCTTTTCTTTGAGAAGTAGCCTTTCCAGCCCGTCCATGCCACTGACGATCAATCTTTGCATGTTCTCCTGGTGTGTGGTGTGGATTTGTGGTTCAAATTGCTAACAACCTGTGCTAAGGCAGCATCAGGGGCAGGTGGAATTGTTTAACAGGAAGTCTCCGGGAGGTTCCCGTTGATTTAGCCATTTGGTGATACTTCATTTATCATTTGAATAAAAGGATTTTTTCAAGAGGAAAGTTCTTCACAAGTACTATGTGGTTTTTTTTGGTGGGGGGCTGTTATTTTGGGGGTGGTGGTGTGTGTTGGGAAGCAGTGTTCATATTTACCAAACTTTTGCAGTGATGGTCGATGCCCAGGACGACTGCAAAGCTGGCGCGGAGCGCTCATCTGTTTTCAATTTCTTGCGTTTTTGGATGTATTTGTGGTGTTTTTCCAAACCAAGGCATGAGTGTCAGCACGTTACTAGTAACTAAACTCCAGGCTCTGTTTGGATTTTACTGTGTTGTCCTTCTTGACCATTTTTGGATCCAGGGTCCGGCGTGAGCTACTCTGTTATGTTCTGTTGCCTGCCATCCTTCGTTGCTGCTTCGCTGTGGCTGTTTCTTAGTCTTTTCTGGGTTCTTGTGATGTTTACAGTTTTGAGGGGTAAGAGTTTTGCGGAAGTCCCCTCAATTTGGGGTTGTTTGGTACTTTGTTCATTAGACTCAGATTGGGGGCTTGTACTTTAAGAACTTCTGCCTTAAACTTGAGACATTGTTATGTAAGCAGTCCTATGGGTACCGGTTCTAATCCCGGAAGCTCCACTTCCCATCCAGCTCCCTGCTTGTGGACTGGGAAAGCAGTCAAGGACGGCCCAAAGCCTTGGGACCCTGCGCCCGTGGGGGAGACCTGGAAGAGGCTCTGGGCTTCTGGCTTCAGATTGGCTCAGCTCCGGCTGTTGCAACCGCTTGGGGAATGAATCATTGGATGGAAGATCTTCTTCTCTCCTTCTCTGTATATCTGACTCTCCAATAAGAATAAATCTTTAGAAAAAAAATTGAGGGCAGTTAGCATTGTTGAACTCCAGGTGTTTATACTCGTGTCGGGAGTCCTGCATTGCTCTCACCTGTATGCATGTGATGCCGCAGTGTGAGCCTTCCAGTCAGAGCTGGCTTCCCTGTGTTATCTAAGACAAATCACTTACTCTCTTCGGTTTTGTTTTCTTTAAAATAGAATCTGTATAATCCCTGAGCATGTGAATTGGAGTCTCACAGATCTGAGTTGGCAAAACGTTTTTCATTTCCCATCACTTCAGCAGGATAAGCAACTCTGAGATGGAACAGTTTTCTGTAGTACTTACTTCTTGTGGCTTCCTGGATACTTGCATTTTCTTACCTTTAAAACAGGCACACCTCTTTAAGCCATTATAACCTGCACTGTATCCCATCTAGGTGTTTGCGTTTTCCTCTAATTTGCAAAGGAATGTAGGAAGAACCGAATGTCTCTGAATATAGCAAGATGCTAGCCTTCTAAAAGGAAATAGAAATGTCTTCCAGGAACCACAGTTCAGAATAAAGGGTGAAGGGGTCCGGCAGCGTGACCTAACGGCTAAAGTCCTTGCCTTGAACGCCCGGGATCCCATATGGGCACCGGTTCTAATCCCAGCAGCTCCACTTCCCATCCAGCTCCCTGCTTGTGGACTGGGAAAGCAGTCGAGGATGGCCCAAAGCTTTGGAACCCTGCACCCATGTGGCAGACCCAGAAGAAGTTCCTGGATCCTGGCTTTGGATTGGCATAGCATCGGCTGTTGCACTCACTTAGGGAGTGAATCA